GCGGCCCCTTTGTGCCACCCGGGAGACGCCGAGGCCAGCAGCGCCAGCGCGGCCAGCGGGGGCGAGGGAGCCAAGGGCGCCCGGAGGGATCCGGGAAGACTCTCACCGGCGAGTCCCCCGCACACCGGCACCCTCGCTGCTCCTGGGGCTTCTGCTCCACCCTCGGGGTTGACTGGCCTATTGCACTGCCTTTTGCTCTGCACCGTGTGACTTTCTCCCTCTGGAAGCTTCCCTGAGTCTCTCCCTGTTGCTGTCTGCATCTCTGTCCCCATCTCTCACTCTCTCAAGTCACACTAAGTCTATCTCCAGCAGCCTGTGACGGTCTGTGTCTCTCTGGCTCCATTCCTTTTCTCTGTCTCCTTCCATCTCTGTGTGGGATTTTTGTCGCTCTGCCCCTACCCTTCCCCTTCCCTCTGAAGCCTGCATCTCTGTGTCCCTTAGGGCCTGCCAGACCCGTCTCTTCCCCAGAGCCGTCTGGAGGAGGGCCAGGACTGGGCACAAGGCAGGACCAGGATAATGACAGTGCCCAGTCTGTGGCCATGGGTAGCCTGCCTGCTTGTGATCCTCTTCTCCTTGGGATTTGGCCTGGACACGCCAGAGGGTGAGTTCCCAGCACTGCCTCCTGGAACCCCATCTTCCTCTCAGAGGACTGGGAGACCAAAAAATGGAGCTTCCAGCTAGAACACTTCTATTTACCTGCTGCGGCGACATGAAGACTGACTGGGGTTAGCTCTCAGAACTTCCCACCAGGAGGAGCAGTTGGCTTCCCACATAGGGGTGTTTTCATGTCAGTTCCCTGTGAAGTGAGAAGGACCTTGAAACAGAGGGATGGACAGGTAGATGTCCTCCCTTCCTGCTTGTGAACCAGTGATCCCAGTACAGCCTGAATGAGAACCAAAATCGGCAGAGTGGGGAAGCCTTAGAGGTAATTTCTAGAGTCACTGAATGGGAAGGGGGCCAGGATGGGAAGGGTAGTTGAGAACCAGGCACCATTAAGTAACTGAACCCATTGTGCCAACAGGAAACTGAAGCTCAGAGAATTAAAAGGTCAAGCTAGACTAGGGTCTTGAGCTCCTGCCTCCGGGCCCTGTCCCATGTCCCCCACTTTTAGGGCCCATCCACTGGGATGGGGGCTGCTTTTATTCATCCTCAGGATAAACATTTCCCATGTGTAGGATTTTGAGGGGGTGGGATTATGTAGACTAAGTGGCCCTCATGGGGGTGCTGGGGGCTTGGCAAGGAGAAGAAAAAAAATGAAGGTGGAAGATTCAACAGGGGAAGGATTAAGAGATGTCCCCTTCCCCATACCCACTGTTCCCTGCCAGACTGAGGAAGCTCAGGAATCCAGCACTCCGTGTCTGCCTGTGGGGTCCTGTGATGCCCTCAGACTGGGGCTTCCTTGGGCAGGGCAGAGTCTCCCCTTCCTACGCAGACAGAGGGGTGATGAGACTGGGGTGGGGTACGGAGTCCCCTGAGGAGTTCTAGGCACAGAGACAGTGCCTGCAAGGCATGGCCCACCCCCCTGCACCCCTTCCCTCCTCCATACTGTGCCAGGACAAGGCATAGCAGATGCCAGCCAGGAGCACGGTTGTCAGGACAAGAGCACGTCCCTGGAGGAGGGGGGTTGTTTGGAGAGGGGACCCAGATGTCCCGCTCCCAGTGCAGCTCAGCACAGGGCCATGTCCTGAGGGGAGGCAGGCAGGGGTTAACCTGTGAAGATCGAAGATTTGTTTTCCAAGTGCCTCCCAACAGGGGAGCCCTAGAGAGGCCAGGGCACAATGGGAAGCGGCATGTGGGCTCCTGAGAGAACCCCCCACCTGCCTGCAGAGCCTGATTGGCCTTTGCCTGGAGGGACTAGAAGTGTTTTCTCGTTCTCCCTCTCTTTTGTGCGTGTGCATGTGTACCTGCATGTGCTCAGACACACACACACACACACACATGCACACACTCATACACATGCACGCACTCACACACATGCATGCAGGAAGTTGCTGGGCAGAGCCAGAGCCAAGAACAGGGACAATTAATGACAAATGGAAGAAGGTGTAAAATAAGCCCCAGGGAGCCAGCCTTGCCTGCCCACTGCCCATTTTAGCCATCAGGGAATGGGCCTGCATATCCGTGATGTGTTGCCCAAGGGCTAGGTGGGAAGGGAGAGAGTAGAGGCTGGAGAGGTTAGCAGGAATTGAAGGCAAGCTGAAGAATTCAGACTCCAATCTTCTACAGTGGGGAGCTGTGGAAGATATCCCTGGGGACAAGTGAGTGCAGGGACTAGGTATCCTGCCCATTAGGAGAGTGGTCCTGGGTGCCTTGGGGAAAGAAAGGGAAGGGGGCTGGAGCCCTGAGATCTGAAGAAGCCAGACACACCCAGGTTCCCAAGGGAGGAGTGGACTTGGGAGTCAGATGTCCATCAATTCAACCCACAAATCCTGAGTGCCCAGTATTGCCCTGACCTGGGCACCAACGGAAGATGCTGACTACTAAAAAGGGCCTCAGCTTCAGGAGAGTCCCTCTCGGCAGTGGGTGACAGAGATATAGAGAGCAATGTTGGGGCAACACCCCGGGTGTTCTGACGTGGGTGCTGGACTAAGTTGTGCGGAGCTTGAAGGGGGAGTGGTTAACTCAGGGTCAGAGAGTCAGGGAAGGGGGGGCTTGACTCAAGGTTTTCAGGACAAGAAGTGAGGATGTCATCAGGTCCAAGGAATCCTTCTGAGGCTGGAGGAATTAGTGGGGTCCAGTCAAAACCCTAGAATGTCAGCTGAGGGATTTAAACTTAATCTTTTGGCAAGGGGGAGCCATGAAATGCCCCTTCTAGAGTAAACAAATGCAAGGATCAGGCTTCTGGTTTCTTAGGCTTGAGAGAGAAGTGGAGTGTATGAAGCTCAGACTACAGTCACAGAATTCATTCTTTCTTTCTGTCTTTCTTTCTTTCTTTCTTTCTTTCTTTCTTTCTTTCTTTCTTTCTTTCTTTCCTTCATCAAATATTTATTGAGCACCAGTTTTATGCCAGGTACTATACCAAGCACCAAGGATACAGCAATGAATTACACAAAGATCCCTGCTCTTGGAGCTTACCATAAACAAAATAAATGAGTGTTTATATATTAGTCAGTATTAAGCATTTGGAGAAAAATTAAGTAGGAAGTGGGGTAGGGAGTGTTGCAATTTTAAATAGAATGGTCAAAGGAGTCCTCATGGAGAAGGTGACATTTGAGCAAAGATTTAAAGGAGGTGAAGAAGCCATTGAGGGGGGAAGAGTGTTCTAACCAGAGGGAACAGAAGGTGCAAAGACCCCAAAGCAGAAACTTGGCTGGTTTGTTTGAGCAACCACGAAGTGGTTAGTGTGCCTGAAGGAGAGAGAGAAAGTGGAGGACTTCAGAGAGATGCAGACATCCTGTAGGCTGTATAAAGGACTTTGGCTTTTCATCAGTGAGATAGAGGCCACTGGGGGGGTTTGAACAGTGGAGGACCATGATCCAGCTTGTGTTTTGTGTTTCTACTCTGGCTATGGAGTGGAGGATAGAACTGAGGGGGACAGACAGAGTGGAATTGGAGAGACCGTTTAGGAAACTATTGTTTTAAATCCATGAGAAGATGATGATGAAAAAGCCGTGAAGGTGGTGATGAGCAGTTGGGTCCCAGATATATTTTAAAGGTAGACTCACAGGGTGTGGGGGTGAGAGAAGGAAAGGAGTCATGTACGGTTTTTGCTTTGGAGACTGTCTGCAAGAATGAAGTTGCAATCAATCAAGAAGGGAATACGGGTTTGGGAGAGAAGGTCAGGAGCTCACTTTTGCCCACGTTAGCTCATCTGGTAGAGATCCTCCAAGCTGCCGGTGAGGCCTCTGAGGCCCAGGGAGGAGGTAGCCCCACACCCACAGCAGGGCCCGGCTCCCTCTCCATGTCCCCTCCCAGGGTGGTCCCCTCCTACAAAGCTGTCAGGGAGGAATGGGGTACCGGGCCCAAGCTGTAATGACAGCTACCTGTCATTTGTGCCCACAGTGTGCCCCAGCCTGGACATCCGCTCAGATGTGGCGGAGCTGCGGCGGCTGGAAAACTGCAGCGTGGTGGAGGGCCACCTGCAGATCCTGCTCATGTTCACGGCCACCGGTGAAGACTTCCGTGGCCTCAGCTTCCCCCGCCTCACTCAGGTCACCGACTACCTGCTGCTCTTCCGCGTCTACGGCCTGGAGAGCCTGCGTGACCTCTTCCCCAACCTGGCAGTCATCCGGGGCACCCGCCTCTTCCTGGGCTACGCACTGGTCATCTTCGAGATGCCGCACCTGCGGGATGTGGGGCTGCCGGCGCTGGGGGCTGTGCTGCGTGGGGCGGCGCGCGTGGAGAAAAACCAGGAGCTCTGCCACCTCTCCACCATTGACTGGGGCCTGCTGCAGCCTTCGCCAGGCGCCAACCACATCGTGGGCAACAAGCTGGGCGAAGAGTGTGCCGACGTGTGCCCCGGCGTGCTGGGTGCCAGCGGCGAGCCCTGTGCCAGGACCACCTTCAGTGGGCACACCGACTACAGGTGCTGGACCTCCAGCCACTGCCAGAGAGGTGGGCCCTGGCACTGAACACAACTAAGGGGCACAGGGAGGGCAGGGTCAGATGGGGCTGGGTAACCATAGAATGGCTTTGGGTCAGTAATTTGCCGGCATTGTTTATTTTAATCCTCATTTATCCTATGGGGCAGTGGTTAAGAACAAAGCCGGCTGGCCTGGGTTTGAATCTCAGCTCTACTACCTACTGGCTATGTTCATTTAGCCTGTCTGGGCCTCAGTTTCCTCATCTGTAAAACAGTCGTAGGGTTGTGATGATAAATGAGCTGTTCTCTAAAGCAGCAGAGCAGTGCCTGGGCCATGGTAGCAGTTCCATGTTCCTGACAAAGGCAGCCACAGCGAGGGCCACCCAGAGAAGGTGGGCAGTCTTGAAATAGGGAGGTTGGGAGCTGAGCGGGAGAAGAGAGGAGGAGGCTACAGATGTTGGACAGGTGAGGACAAATTTGCGAGATGGGATCTTCTTTAGGAAGTAAGGTGCATGGAGAGGAAACAGAAGGAGGGGGTGGAGAAAAAGGAGAGTGGAGCATGGAGGGGATGGATGGAGGAGGAAGTGAGAGTTACAGTGGAGGGGAAGAAGACCTTTCAGAGGCTGGGAGCAGATCTGGGGTCCCCAAGATGGGGGTCTGTCCACGCAACTTCTGGAGGTCAGCTCCCCCCACCCCAGTGCCTCAGCATCAGGGCAAAAGAGTAACCAGATCCCTGTTGTATCCACTGGGCCCCACCTCCCTGATGTCTCCCTGTTGGCTGTAAACACAGCTGCTACATGCCCTCTCTTGTGTGTAGTGTCAACATGCCCTGGCTGACCCCTGCTCCCACAGACATACAACTGCCACTGCAGAGTTGCCAGCCAATTGGCCCTCAGCTCCAAACCCATCCACGGCTGCTTGGAGCCACCTCCTGCCCAGGGCAGAGAGCTGAAGAGGGAGGAGGTATGGGCGGGGGCATGTGGAAGGCTCCTCCTTCCACACCCTCCCAGGCCCGGGTTGCCCTGGGCCTAGCCCCTCAGGAGAAGCTGGCTGGCTCACCCTGGCACCATGCCCAGCAAAGATCTGGGCACCAGGCCTAGACAGGACAGCAGGCTGGGGAGCAGCAGCACTGATGGACAAGGTCACTGCTCTGTCTGAGTTCTGACACCCCTGACTAGGCACTATGGGAGGTGGGGAGCCAGAGAGGGGCCACAGTCCTTATCTTCAAGAGCCTTTGCCTGAGGAAAACAGAGTGGGCAGCCAGTGTCATCTGAACTGGAGGGATCTGGGTGCAGATTGAGATGGCTATCCCAGGAAGAGGCAGGCGGGGCCAGGACCAAGGAGGCGTGAGTCAGGTCTAACACAGCACTCTGCCCACAGTATGCCCCTGTCCCCGTGGACTGGCCTGCACAGCTAGAGGTGAGTGCTGCCACACTGAATGCCTGGGAGGCTGCAGCCGGCCAGAAGACCCCCGTGCCTGCGTCGCCTGCCGTCACCTCTACTTCCAGGGCGCCTGCCACCAGGCCTGCCCTCCAGGCACCTACCAGCATGAGTCCTGGCGCTGCGTCACGGCTGAGCGCTGTGCCAGCCTGCACTCTGTGCCCGGCCGTACCTCCACATTTGGCATCCACCAGGGAAGCTGCCTGGCCCAGTGCCCTCCAGGCTTCACCCGTAATAGTAGCAGGTGAGTGTTGTGTGGGTAGGGGGCACCCTTGGAGCAGTGAGGAGGCCAACACTGGTCCAGGGCTCATGTCACACCCTCTGCTTGCCCCTACTAGCATATTCTGCCACAAGTGTGAGGGGCTCTGCCCCAAAGAGTGCAAAGTGGGCACCAAGACCATTGACTCCATCCAGTCAGCACAGGATCTGGTGGGCTGCACCCACGTGGAGGGGAGCCTCATCCTCAATCTTCGCCAAGGCTGTTAGTACCTTCCTCAGGACCACACCTCTCCTCCTGGCCACACCCTTCCTCCTGGACACACCATTCCCACTTGTAATGGCCTAGCTAAAGAACTATGTTCCATCACCCTGGGTCTCAACCTTGAGGGTCCCCTTCCCTGGGCCCCCAATCAGCCCCCCACCCACACCCTATGCAACCATCACTTTTCCTGCTCTTGCTCCAGCCCTGTCTTCCTCATCCCCAGATAACCTGGAGCTGGAGCTGCAGCACAGCCTGGGGCTGGTAGAGACCATCACTGGCTTCCTCAAAATCAAGCACTCCTTTGCCCTCGTGTCCCTGGGATTTTTCAAGAACCTCAAGCTAATCCGAGGAGACACCATGGTGGATGGGTAAGGGGTCAGAAACGGGGCTCTGACCAGCTCCCTCTATCACATCTCCTCCCAACACTCCCAAAAGTGTGGTAAAAAGCATGAGCTCTGAAACCAGCTCTACTACTTAGAAGCTGTGTGGCTTTGGGTAGGTTGTTTAACTTCTCTGGTCCTCAGCTTTCTCATCTGTAAAATGGGATTAATATAACACTACTTATTTTTTAAGACTGTTGTGAATATGAGTTAAGTCATTATGTATAAAGCACTTAAAACAGTACCTGAAACACAGTATATATTACTACACAGAATTATGGCTACATATAACTCCATTTGGATTGGCTATAATTTTTCTCATCTGATTCTCTCAGCAGCAGAGCAAGACTGCCTGGGTTTGAAACCCATTCCTGCCACTACTAGTCAAAGCCTACCCCTAATGTAGCCAGGATTTTTCAAAATAAACAGAATGCCTTAAATTATTACCCAGCCAAGTGGTTTCTCATGTCTCCTGGCACAATGCCATGTACCCCTAGGGGTGCCCCACTCCAACTGGAGAGACATAGGCTCAGGCTGAGTCCCATTCCTCCCTGTGTTCCTACAGCCAGGACAGAGCCTGGCACATAGCAGGTGCTCAGTCCATGTGAGATGAGGAAAGGAGGCAGGCAGAAAAACTGTTGACCCCATTTCATTGATGAGGAAAACATACAAAGTGTGGATGACTTGCTAGACCACAGACTTCTAGTCAGTGGCACAGAGTGGGTGTGTACAAATGACCCATGTGTGCTGAGTGCCCCTCCCCACCTCCGCCCCTAGTGCAGCCCCTACAGGAGGAGCCCATAAAGCACCCCCTTCCTCCCCTTGCTCCTACCTGCTGTGCAGAGCAAGGTTCCCTGGCCTCCCCCAGGAACTACACTCTGTACGTGCTGGACAATCAGAACCTACAGCAGCTAGGGTCCTGGGTGGCTGCAGGACTCACAATTCCCGTGGGCAAGATCTACTTCGCCTTCAACCCACGCCTCTGCTTGGAGCACATCTACCGCTTAGAGGAGGTGACTGGCACGAAAGGACGGCAAAACAAGGCTGAGATCAACCCCCGCACCAACGGAGACCGAGCTGCCTGTGAGGCCCGACACCCCCAACCCCAGAGCAAGCGGAGGGGGGGGCACCCTCGCAATGACAGATTTGACCCCAAGAAACACTCAGATGCGCACACACGCTGAAACACACCAGACACGCACTGGGTGGGAGGGGACACTTGTAGGGGACAGCGTGATAAATTCTCTTTAGAGGCCAAGCTGTGGGTGGAATGTCTTGAGGTCAGGGTGGGAGCTTGAGAATAAGCAGTTCAAGCAGGTGACAAACGTGGTCGAGAGCAGGTATTTGCCCTTCGCCCTGCCCAGGCCAGACACGTACCCTTCGCTTCGTGTCCAACGTGACGGAGGCCAACCGCATCTTGCTGCGCTGGGAACGCTACGAGCCGCTGGAGGCTCGCGACCTACTAAGCTTCATCGTGTACTACAAGGAGTCGTGAGTGGCGGGGGTGGGGCCAGAGAGGGTGGGGCCAGAGTGGGGGCGGGACCAGGGCGAGGGCGGGGTCAGAGCCCGACCCGGACTACTTGTTTAAGGGCAGGCAGGTGAGGGCAAGAGCCTCGCTGGGATGCGGAGAGCCAGCAAGCCAGGACCCCAACGTCGCACTCCCTTGTAGGGTCCACGTCTGGCGCTCTCCCCTCACCTTCATCCCTCGTGCCTCAATTTCACCTCACCCAGAAACAAGGAGAGGACAATCAGGATTTCTGAGAGCCTAGGAGAGGCGCCCTGCTGGGAAGGCTTGGATAATTAAACTTCAATTCACTATGCTAATGTTTTGTACTGACCACACGCTCCTGCCCCAGCAGCGGTTTGGGAGGTACCCACTAATTTGGCCAGTTTTATGCACATCTTTGCCAGCATTTCATTAAAGCCTGAAGAAGGGAGATAGCAGAGACAGCAAAGGACCAATGCTCTTTTCTTTGGAGAGAGTGTACTGACCATAGCAGAAGGAATAGTGATTAGACCACGGGAAGGACTTCTCCAAAAGCATGGCTAGGGATCAAAAACAGAAATCCTTAGAGGAGAGAGAGATATGGGAGGGCAGACTGGGAGGACAGGGTTGAGAATTACCCTGCATGATAGACAGAGACGGGAGCCACCTGCCTTGGAATCATTTCCTGTGAATTAACATTGAGAGATCTTAGTCGCCCACTAGCACAGGGCCTGGCCTGGGAGGAAGGGAGGGAAGTCAATGGCCCTCCCTATTCAAATGGCCAAGGTTCTCCTAGGCCTCAGTGGAAGGTGAAGGTCTCTACCGTGAGGGGCTGGAGAGTTTGTTAAATACAGACTGCTGGGCCCCACCCCTCACAGATTCTTGTTCCGTTAGTCTTGAGCAGGGCCCATGAAACTGTATTTCTAACAAGCTGCCAGGTAATGTTGAATCTTCTGGTCCATGGACCACATGTTGAGGAGCACAAATACGGACTGCAATTAAATCCCTTCCTCCTCCACTGCCCCTGGGCTCATGCAGCTCACAATTCTGTACAACTATATACAGCTGCCTTTGGGCTCAAAGGGCAGAGAATCTTAGCGGTCTGAACTTCAGGAAACTCCTCTAACATCTGCCTGGCACTGCAGCTGTGGCTGTGCTCCTTAGAGATACATACTGCGAATCCTGGCTCAATTCCAGCTCTGAGCAGACCCTCTCAGAGTGTGTCATGCCCTCAAGGCACCTGCCCCAAAGGGCAGACCAACACAGGATTTTGAATGCCCTAGTGCATACCGAAAGAAAAATGACAATGACAGTCTTGGAGTGATTCAGAGAGGAAGGAGGGTTGCTAGAGACAGGTTGGGGCTGGGCTGCCCCTCATCTCCAGGGGTGGGATGTTCAGCCCATTCCAGAATGCCACAGAGCACGTAGGTCCAGATGCCTGTGGGACCCAGAGCTGGAACCTACTGGATGTGGAGCTGCCCCTAAGCCGCACCCAGGAACCAGGGGTGATCCTAGCCCCCCTCAAGCCCTGGACACAGTACGCAGTGTTTGTGCGGGCCATCACACTGACCACTGCGGAGGACAGCCCCCACCAAGGAGCCCAGAGCCCCATCATCTACCTCCAAACCCTGCCTGCAGGTAGGCTAAAGCCTTTGAAGGGGGTGGGAGCTAGATGCTTGGGTCCTAGTGAGAATGGGGGAACTCAAGCACCAGAAATAAAGAATCTGGGTGACTGAAAACCTGGCCTGTAGAGGCTGAAAGGCCAGATCTCAGAGAGAGGGACCCATTACCAGACAATATTTGAAAGGGGGATCTGCGGCTCCTCAGTTGTGCCCTACTCACACCCCCAGCCCCTACGGTGCCCCAGGATGTCATCTCCACGTCCAACTCCTCCTCCCACCTGCTGGTGCGCTGGAAGCCACCCACCCAGCGCAACGGCAACATCACCTACTACCTGGTGCTGTGGCAACGTCTGGCAGAGGACAGCGACCTCTACATCAATGACTACTGCCACCGCGGTGCGCAAGGAGGAGGCGCGGGCGGGACGGGTTGGGGCTGGGCCGTGGGCGCTGTCAGTCTAACTGATTCCTTCCCGGCCGCCGCGGCAGGCTTGCGGCTACCCACCAGCAACAATGACCCCCGCTTCGACCGCGAAGACGGGGAACTCGAGGCCGACAAGGAGCCTGGCTGCTGCTCTTGCCAGCACCCACCTCCTGGGCAGGTCCTGCCACCGCTGGAGGCTCAGGAGGCCTCGTTCCAGAAGAAATTTGAAAACTTTCTACACAACGCCATCACCATCCCCAAGTGCGTCTCCCCGCAGGCAAGCCAGGAGGGGTGTGGGGGAGGAGAGCTGGTGGGCGGGGTCTGTGGGGGCGGGTCTTGTTGAGCGAGTAGGGGGTTTGTGGGCGGGGCCTGGGTTGCGAGTGGGTTTGAAGGTGGTGAGCCGCTGCACCGGACATAAGGGCGCGTTCCGGGCGGGCCTGACCGGGACTTCCCTGGTCTCCCCAGGTCCCCTTGGAAAGTAACGTCCATCAATAAGAGCCCTCAAAGGTGAGCAGGGACGGAGCAGGAACAGAGGGGCGCGGCTCCCTGGGCGGCGCCATGGCTCTGACTTGCTCCCTCCTTAGGGACTCAGGGAGGTACCGCCGGGCAGCAGGGGCCCTACGGCTTGAGGGGAACAGCTCAGATTTTGAGATCCAGGAGGATAAAGTTCCCCGGGAGCGAGCGGTGCTTAGGGGCCTGCGCCACTTCACGGAATACCGGATCGACATCCATGCCTGCAACCACGCGGCGCACACCGTGGGCTGCAGCGCTGCCACCTTCGTCTTTGCGCGCACCATGCCCCACAGTAGGTGATCCCCTCAGCTCTACTCACCCAACACCGACCCCAAGGACCCTATCCAATTAGTGCTCCAACTAGCAAGTCTGACCTCCCGATAACCTCAGGCCTGGCTCTGCTCGTTCTCCCAGTCCCCCAATCCCAGAGTTTCCCCAAACCTCCCAGTTTAACCCCTTTGGGCTTGAACATAAAGGTGAGAGGAAGTACTTGTGACCGAGCTGCCTGGTTCCCTCTCCTGCAGGAGAGGCCGATGGTATCCCTGGGAAGGTGGCCTGGGAGGCAGCCAGCAAGAGTAGTGTCCTCCTGCGCTGGCTTGAGCCACCAGACCCCAATGGACTCATCCTTAAGTATGAAATAAAGTACCGCCGCTTGGGAGAGGTAGGTACCCCAGGAGACACCCTAGCCCAGCTTAGCCCCAATCTGTGCCTCCATCCTCTCCCCAGCCAGCTGTTCTGTGTTGCCCTCAGGAGGCCACAGTGCTGTGTGTGTCCCGCTTGCGATATGCCAAGTTTGGGGGCGTCCACCTGGCCCTGCTGCCTCCTGGAAACTACTCTGCCAGAGTTCGGGCAACCTCACTGGCTGGTAACGGCTCCTGGACAGACAGTGTCGCTTTCTACGTCCCTGGCCCAGGTATGTAGAGCCTCTGTCCAAGACCTGTGCTCCCAAACAGCCTCACCTGAGTCCCCGGCTACATCTCCCATTGTAGAAACCACAGCCCCTCCCCTATATCTCCCTCATCCTCGTCTCCCATTGTGGAAAGAGAAGTGTCCTCTACCCTTTGACTTCTCCATCTTTGATCTGACCCTCTGCTGCCCTCTGGCCATCAGAGGAGGAAGATTCCGGGGGACTACACATCCTTCTCACTGTCACCCCCGTGGGACTCATGCTGCTCATCATTCTTGCTGCCCTCGGTTTCTTCTATGGCAAGAAGAGGTGATGACAAGTCCCACTGGTTCCCAACCCCTTCCTGTCCCTGAGCCCTCATCATAAGGTCAGTGCAATCAGAGTGTAGTTGGTGAGACAGTGGAAAGGACTTCCTTAGAAGCAGTAACTCTTCCCCTGGGGGCAGAGTGGAGGAGACATACCTTTCAGTTAGGGTAACCAACTAGTCCATGTTTGCCTGGGACTTTCCTGACTTTAGGAGCAAAAGTCCCACATCCTGGGAACCCCTCAGTTTGCGCACACCAGACACTCTTGGCTTGAGAACTAATGAAACTGGTCCTATCATAGCAGGGGAAGAGGCAGGAGACGTCAGGATGTGTTCTGGGATTCTTGATGTCAGATCTCCCTGGAGCTGACTGCAAGAGGGAACTGGGGGCAAGAGTTTGATTAGCTGGGTTCTGAGGACCAGCTGAGGAGATGCGAGCTCCTGTACTCCTGTCCTCCCTATATCCAGCCTGTCAGACCCCAGATCCCAGAGCTAGGACCAAGACTAGTTTAGAAAGTGCTTGGGATTCCCCAGGGGTCTCCCTGATCAGGCTAGGTGTATGGTCAGTAACTTCCCTCCTCCTCGCGTTGCCCCTCTTCCTTGTCTTCTAATATTGCTCCTTCCTTCCTGAGGACACTTCCAGCCTGACCCCTTCACCTCTCATTGCAGAAACAGCACCCTGTATGCCTCTGTGAATCCAGAGTACTTCAGTGCCTCTCATAGTAGGTCTGGGGGTGGCTGGACAGGTGGTGTGGGACAGAGAGACGGGAGGGGAGAAGAGGCAGATTTCCAGACCATCTTGGAGAAGGCAGCCTTGGTACTTAAACCCTTCAGAAGAGGAGTGGGGGAGGTGTGGCAGAGAGCAGTATGCTTGCCTTGTGACCCCCACCTCCTCTCAGTGTACATCCCTGACGAGTGGGAGGTTCCTCGGGAGCAGATCTCCATAATCCGAGAACTAGGCCAGGGCTCTTTCGGGATGGTATACGAGGGGCTGGCACAAGGACTTGAGGTTGGAGAGGAGTCCATGCCCGTGGCCCTGAAGACTGTGAATGAGCTGGCCAGCCCACGAGAACGCATTGAGTTCCTCAAGGAAGCCTCTGTGATGAAGGCATTCAAGTGTCACCATGTGGTAAGGGAAGGTCAAGGACATTGTCAGGGTCAAGTTAGGGTGAAAGTCATGTGGCAAGAAGGGTAAGGTCAGTGATAAGGTCAGAGCACCATCAAGGTCAGCGTTGGAACTGTGGTTAGGATCCTAATTGGGGTAAAGGTCATAGTTGGGGTTAAAGTCAAAACAGGGTCATGATAAGGCCGTGGTAGAATCATGGCTAGGGCTGAGATCAGCCATGGCTGAGGGTCAATATTGAGTGTTCAGATCATTACTAGGATCACAACTGGGATCAAGGTCAAAGTTGAGCCAATCATGAAGATTGGGACGATAGATACAATCAATGTCACGGGTTAAGGCCAGGGTCATTGTTAGATCAAGCTAGAGTTGTGGTTATGATTGGAGTTAGGAAGGTTGGTGTCTGGGTCAAAGTTGTGGTCGCAGCAGGACAAGGTTTTGGCCGGGTGGGTCAAGGGGAGCTAGGTGGACCTGCAACCAGGCTCTTTGTCCATCCCAGGTACGTCTCCTGGGTGTGGTGTCTCAGGGCCAGCCAACTCTGGTCATCATGGAGTTAATGACCCGAGGGGACCTCAAGAGCCATCTTCGATCTTTGCGGCCCGAGGCAGAGGTGGGGACCAAGAAGACCCAGGGTCAAGCGGCTGGGGAGTTAGAGAAGATTTGGGCACAGTCGTGGGGGTGATCCTTGGGCAGGAGTCCAGCCTCAAGACCCCTTCTTCATCAGCCCCCTCTCTTGCTCTAGAACAACCCTGGGCTCCCACGGCCAGCACTGGGAGATATGATCCAGATGGCTGGTGAGATTGCGGATGGCATGGCATACCTCGCTGCCAACAAGTTTGTGCACAGAGACCTTGCAGCCCGAAACTGCATGGTGTCCCAGGACTTCACCGTCAAGATCGGTGGTACAGAGGGTGCCAGGAGGGTGGGGGCAGCCTGAATAGAGCAACTGCCCCTAAGCTAGGCACAAGGAGACCCAGTCCTGGCCCATAGCTCTGTCCCTGAGAGCCCCCCCCCTCCACTGGATCCCAGTCCCTCATCTGAGGGCAGAAGGATTTGAATGGGACGATCCCTGAGGTCCTTTGAGCCCTCACTTTCCAGGATTCTTGGAGACTATGGAGGTGGAGAGTGTTGGGAGAGGTATTCCTGGGGCAAGACCTGGCATGTGGCTCTGCTGCCCCAAACTCCGTCCACCTTCACTTTCCAGACTTCGGGATGACTCGAGACGTGTATGAGACAGACTATTACCGCAAGGGTGGGAAGGGGCTGCTGCCTGTGCGCTGGATGGCCCCCGAGTCCCTCAAAGATGGAATCTTCACCACCCACTCGGATGTCTGGTGGGACCTGGCTGGGGCAGAGGGCTCAGGGGATGTGGCGGCAGGGTCTTGGGAGAGGCCTGGGTGCACTCCCTAGTGCTGCGCAGCATGAAAGTTGCTGGACTCAGGCCCTCCTTGGTGTCCTCCAGGTCCTTTGGCGTGGTGCTCTGGGAGATTGTGACCCTGGCCGAACAACCCTACCAGGGACTATCCAACGAGCAGGTGCTCAAGTTCGTCATGGATGGTGGGGTCCTAGAGGAGCAGAAGAGCTGTCCCATTCAGCTGTGAGTCACTGAAGTCTAGGGCTTCCTCACCCCTACCCTGCCTACAACTGCCCCGCCCCCGGTGATTCTGTTCCCTCTGCTCTGATGCTTTTACTTACAGTGATCCCCAGCTCTGAGCCCTCCAACTCTAAATTCCCACTCCAACCTCCATTTAGTCTCCTGTGACCCACTCCCCAGCTCACACTGATGGACCCTTTCAGTGCAGGAGGCAGGAGGTGTGCACCCTCTGACACTGTCCCCCACCCTCACCAGGCAGGAGCTGATGCACCGCTGCTGGCAGCAGAACCCACGCCTGCGCCCAACCTTCACCCACATCCTGGACAGCATACAGGAGGAGCTGCGGCCCTCCTTCCGCCTCCTTTCCTTCTATCACAGCCCGGAGTGCCGAGGGGCCCGGGCTTCCCTGCTGCCCACAGATGCAGAGCCCGACTCCCCGCCAACCCCAAAAGGGGTTTCCTCAGACTTCAGCCCCCTGAATGGGGGTCCAGGGCACTGAGGGGCAGCCCACTCCTTGACTGACTGGCCTCCCACAGGCAGAGAGGAAGGGACTTGACCTTTGCAGCCGTGGGATGTTGAGGCATTCACACTCCCACCCCTTGCTGAGATGGGGCAGGGGGTGGCCGAGGGGGATGCAGAGAGCAGGAGCAGGAAAGATTGGGGGCGATGGGAGACCAGAGCAGAGTCACGGTAGGAAGGATTTTCTCAGGAATCTGAGTTCTCCACAACAAAGCAAACAAGGCCACAGCTGGAGGAGTGGAGATCAGACTATGGACCAGACGTCCTGCCCTCCGAGTGAGAGCCTGCTCAGACTAGGAAGAGAGTGTGGGAAACCCTGCCCTCAGCTCTGGGGCTCCTGTGGACATCTGGGACCAGCAACACACTTGAAACCAGATGAGCAAACGGAATCAGGCCTGGAACCCTCTCTGCTGATGTTTGGGATGCTGGGGGTGGGTGTCCACGTGACCACTCTTACTGCTGCATTTCACCTCCTCCCCACTGCCCCGTGCAGCAGGGGCTGAGGGGAGAACCCAGGGACCTGGATGTGTGGGTTCCCAGCCTGGCCTGTAGGCCTGCCCCAACCCCTTCCTCTCCTTTGCCACACCCACGGACCCCCAAGCTTGGTGCTCTCCGTCCTCCTCTCCAGGGCCATCCCTCGGTGCAGACTCACCTCTTCTTCCAGTCCCTTCCCCTCAATCTCTCTCCTACCCTTGGATTATTAAGGCTTTAAAAGCCTTGCTTCCTCCCTGCCCTCCCCTCTGCCCCCCACCCCCTGCGTCTCATGGGAAGACTGAAGAAGGCACAATAAAGGCCGAGGTCTGTTTGTACCCTGGTCCCTAGCAGCCCATTATCTCTCCATCTATATGGTGTTAACACTGGATGAACTTCCTCCCTCCCTCCTTGGGGACTTGAGGTGGTGACCCTGAGGCAGTGATATAGGATAAATACACTGCTGTCAAACACCACCTCCATGAGGACCTGAGCAGCCAGGGTTGCCATGGCAGTGAAGCTGGACAATCCTGCTATTATCGGCTGCTCAGGCAGCCAGAAGTGGTTGAGCCTGGCGGGGAACCTTTGTATCTGGTCTCTCAGCCTCACCAACCCGTCCCCCACACCTCGTCTTTAGGTCATCCTTCACTGTTTCCGCTGGGCAGACGTTTCCTGGGGTATTGCAGAACAGACTTGAAGTGGGCAGAACATGGGGGTGGGGGAAGGGCTCCAATGACATCACCAGTCCCCGCTGGATGCCCCCCAGCCAAAGCAGGGGGCATGAATCAGAGTAGAGTCTATGTGTCTGGCTCCTTACTGTTATTCCATCCCGCAAGCAGAGATGCCCTGAAGGCATGTTGAAGGAGCACATGGGAGTCTGTTTCCAGACTCCTATGCCAGTGCCATCAGGGCATTTGAAGGGGAGGAGCTGCAGATGAATGACTTGAAACCTTGATGAAGGGGGTGGCAGCAGAAGGGGCTGGGCCTGTCTCAAAGGCTTTTTAGCATCTTCATCCTGGTCATCAGGGCCAGAATTCCCATGCTGCCACACACTGCCACATGCTGCCCCACACAGGGGGTCAGGGGAGGTTTGTACTTCTAAGCATGCTTGCTCATTCCGGCAGCTGTCCTGAAAATCACTGCTCCTTAACACAGGACCGGAGTGCAGTGGGCATGAATCTGTGTAAGGCCATCTCTGCAATAACAACAGCAGCTCATACACACTATCCCGACAGGGTCAGGGTGGGCAGCAAAGACCACCTGCCCCACCGCATCTCTGCCCTGCCTGTCTTTGGTGCTTAGGGCAACAGTGACCCCTAATGGTTGCCGGTGGAACCACAGCTTAGAGAGAAAAGACGGGAGGTTGGTCTCTCCTCCACGTGTTGCCTGTCTCAGGCTGCCAGTGAGTACAAGGGAGTAGAAACTCCACACAAAAGCCCTTGATCTGAGACCTGCACACTTGCACAGAGCACACAGGCACACCTGCCTTTTCACTGGCCCACAGGGCAGCACTGAGGTCAAGTCGTCTCCCCACTACCCATGCACCCTAAACTTCAAAGGGCGGGATGCTGCATGCTCAGAAAGTGCCAGGCATCTGGATGTGGAGGGGCTTGAGGAAAGGATTGGGAGTCGAAGAAAAGAGGGCTTCCAAAAATGCTGTCTGTGCTTCACCTCCAAAGATGAGCAGGTGGTGACTGGCCAAAAGATCTTTTTTGGAGAAGGCTGTAGAGACCAGAAGACAAACTCTACTGCCATCCATGTCCTAGACTAGAAGTGGATTTAACATAATAGCAAGAAAGATGGGGGTTAGACTTCAGAGGGGACTTTCCAACTACACGGGGAAGCTTTGGGGTGAGAAGTATCTCCTCTCTCAGGGACAGCTAGAGACAGAAAATAGGTTGGCCCTGGGGAGGGAGAGTGATGGACAACTACCCCAGAGCCAGAAGAATGAATGCAGTGACTAAAAGAGAGTTCAGAAACACCCTTCTTTTTTTCCTCTCCCCCAGATTCAGACAGAACTCTGGAAAAAATAATCTGCAGCTGGCTAGGAAGGGGAGGGAATGGAGTGGAGACAGATTAGCATTAAAGAATTACATGTTTACCATCCATCCCCTTAGAAATGTTCTTATGTCCTCTTGACAAGTCCCCCAGATGGACGAAGGGACGCTGGAGGCTGTGGGTCTCATGTTCCACCCACACCAAGCTCAGGATCAACTGATGCATCTTTGTGGGGTGGGACGTTGGAGTCCTCCATGGTGAGAGGCCCAGAGGCCTGGGGCAGGACAGTTGATATGGTTGGAGGTCAGGTGAGCTGTGCCACTGGGCCGGGCCTCTGTGGAGGCAGGACCAATCCGGGTGCTCACAGCTCCCCTTCCTCTAGGCTCTGGGTACAAAGCAGAAGGCTGCAGCCAAGGTAGTTTCTGGCTGTCACCATGCAGAAGGAAGAGCAGGGTACGAGGACATGAGAGGTCGGCATCCTGCGCCTACTCTTGGGTCGGCCCATAACACCGTGCTCCCTTCAAGTCCCAGGGAGCTTGGATCGCAGGGCACCAAGTCTTAGATGCCCAGGCAGAGGGCAACCATGGAGTAGAAACTTGGACCTTCCCCTTGGCCTGGTATCAACAACGCTGTGGAAGCCCCTCCCCTGGTCCAAAAGTTGTCTGATTCTCCAACTTTCAGCTGGGGTGAAGGACAAAGGAGATGCTAAACATGGTCACTGCCCCACAGAAAAAGTCTTCCTCCTTCCAGCCAGAGGCGTCACTGCACAACCCCTCGGGCCATCAGCGTCTCCCCCAGGGGTGAAAGGGGAGTTTGGGTTTCCTCTCATCCCTGCGAGGCCGATGGGCAGTGTGCAGGCACCTCCCACCCACGCCTTATCTTGGCCCAGGAGTCAGAGGGCCTGAACTCCTGGGTCTTCTGGTTGCCTTCCATGAACAGGAGGCCCTCTGGCTCATGCATTTAAAGGGACCACTAGTGAGTGGACACTAGGGTGGCACTATCTGTCCCTGGAGAGAGTGAGGAAAGTGACATTGAACATGGGCCAAATCAGGAATCCAGGCTGGTAGGGCTGGGATAGTGTCAGAAGGGACAGCATTTGGTGAGCTCCTGGGCACATCAAGGGATGCAGATCAGGTGCTCGGCTACCCCTGATGCCTGGCTGAAGGAAGGGTCTCAAAGGGGCCACCCAGCTAAAAGTTTTGATGCTCTTGCTGTGGAAAGGATGACTAAGGGCTATGGGGCTGGAGTTCAGAGCGGGTGTGGTGAGGGGTGAGGTGACCACTGGCCCGGAATATCTGCGTCACCCAGACTCAGGGGCACTTGCCCTTCTCCAAAGCTGGGAAATGTCACCCCTGCCCAAGACGGTGACTGCCCGAGTAGATACTCCAGCCCCGCCTCCATGTGCGGTCCCTGGGAAGGCAGGACCTCTGAAGAATTTGGTGTCTTGGACTGAGAGGGCCAGGAGCTCCTCTTCCATCTTCACTCCCACCACAGAAGGGGAGAGAGGAGAGATAGGGGATCCTGGTGAGCAGGGTGGGAGGGGGGTAAGAGGGAGGCACTCCCAAGATAAAGATGTCAACTGAAATCCTAGGACAAAGAAGCGGGGGCTTATTCAGGGGCACAAGATATTCCTTCCTGTGTCTCCCCACCCCCAACCCCCGTGGCTGCAGCTCTCAATCACCAAGGCCATTGTCAGATGTCAGACAGAAGGAGGACAGGAAAGGACGCAGATGCTAGGGAGGCAGCGAGGAGGGAGCAATAGGCAAGGAGGGGTGTGGGAGATAGACCCAGAGAGTCAGGGAGATAGGAATTCAGAACCTCTACACACACGCACTGGAAGCTCTGAGGACACCCCACCTTGCCCCTTCACCCTCTGTGGGTCCAGCCCCCATCCTTCCCCACTTGTGAGCATCCACAGGGAAACTCTGTGCTTGGTCATTTCTGGAGGTGAAAAGGGGCATGTCCTGAGGGAGCAGAGGACCACTCAGCTTCCCACACTCTCAGGTGCTTCCCACACTCTCAGGTTGGGTCAAGTTGATCCAAAGCAGAACTGGACAGGAGACGGGAAGTGGGCAGAGGTGCAGGGGGAGAGAAGGGAACACTGAATGATGCAGACTAGGGTGGTGGCAGGGAAGACGTTCTGAGACTAGGCAGAAGGATTCACATTACTATTTTCTTTTCTTTTTTGTGGGGAGGGGATTAGATTGATTGATTAACTGATTTGTTTTTTTAATGGAGGTACTGGGGATTGAACCCAGGACCTCATGCATGCTAAGCACGCACTCTACCACAGAGCTATACCCTCCCCTGAGAAGGATTCTCAAGCAAATGAGACAGAGGCCCCTTCCTCTCTGAGAGGCAGAAAAAGAAAAGAGTGTGGACAAAAAGACAGAGGTTGGCAGCTGGGTCAGGGAAGATGTAGAAATGGAGGAGAGGGGTCCAGCCAGCTTCATTTCTCCAAATAGCAGTTGGAGTAGAACCTGAAGCAGGAAGAACGGAGGTGGGACTGTTGAAAGACTTCCGGGGGGCAGGGGATGGGGTGGGAGGCCCACGTGCCAAGGAGGCAGGGGTGGCCTCTTTTGGAAGCAGAATTACCGGAGGGAGAGCCCTCCATGAGGGAAGGCCAAGGGCCGAAATAAGATAAGGCCACCAAGTGCTTTGTAAGCTACACAGCGCTGTACGAATGATTGTTGTGTTATCTAATTGTGATGTCACTTAACAAGATGCTGCAGAAGGACATTTAGTGCCATGGAAAGATGGCCATGACAAACTGCAGAGTGAAAAAAGCGAGTTGCAAATAATATAAATGTCATTTTTTGCCTCTACATGTACAAACTCAGAAAAATACCTGGAAGTGTAAATATGTGTCTGGGAGACAGGATGGGGGGTGATTTATAGCTTCTTTTTGCTTATCTGTATTTTCTCTTTGTGTTTTTTAAAGAACATATATTATTTATACAGAGAAAAACAAGCAGTTTGTTTTGAAAGGAATGAGACTTCTTCCCAGCTGGCCGAGGTCCCCGGGCTCAGGAAGGGTGAGGTCAGAGCCAGAGTCTGTGTTGGGCTGGGCACACTGAGGTCTGACCCGTACATATTCTCCATGCTCTGGGCTGAGCCAGAGTCAGTTTTCGTGAGTTTAAGATTGGCGGCATGTTTTTGTAACCCCATGACGTTTCCGGCTGGAAAGATGCAAAACAGGGGGAGGTAGAGAAAAGCAGAGATTCCTGGCAACCCTGGGCCCACCCAAAGGGAGGCCCACAGCCCTCTGCTTGCAGTGTCTTTGGGGGCCAATTTCCCCACCCAACTCGGCAGAATCAAACTCTACCTACAGTGGCTCCTA